TCCATATAAACTCACCAGGAAAGGAAAGGGATAGACGTAGCATCAGCTGGCAGCAGAGCTGAGAAAACTTATTATTCTAATCAAAAACCCCATGACACTTTGAGCAGCCTGTAGGATTCTGGAAGCTGTCATTCAAAAAGTAACTTTTCCTGGCTCTACCTCTGATCAGCATTGAAGCATATGTAACTTCCTTGGCCTGCATTCACTTCTACATATGCCTGTTCCTCGGTTCTTCCGTTGTCTATTTGACCTTGGGATTCCAGTCTGTTTTTATCTGGAAGGGATCACAGAACAAGGCTTTGAAAAGTTACTTTCTTGGACTGTGTCTCCCAGAATTTCCTAGCCAGCTGGGGATTCTGGAACGTGTAGTCTGAGAAAGCCATTCTGTCCAAGCCCTGCCATGCATGCATGCTGGTGTATTAAAATAAGGTACAGTCATGATCATTGTGGCCACTTAGATGTCAAAAAAAAGAAATGCATCATGCAAAAGGCATCATGGATGCCCATTTAACAGGGCTGAATTTTATTGTCTGCACAAACAAAACAGAAATAGAGAAGACTTTAATTTAAAAAAGAAACACCATACTTTTTCTCAGCACAGAAAGGAAGAGTGTGCCCTGGCTTGATGATTTTTGGGATGATTTTTTGGGATAACCCAAAGGCCCTTCTCGCCTTCCCTTCCAAGGCTACTTTACCTTCAAAAAGTGGATTGATGCAGTTCTTCAAATGGATCTGGGATGTGCAGTATTTTTGGCCTGGAAGGGACGCATCCAGAGTTGGCAAGAGGGATGGAAGTTACACTTGTCTGTGTGAGTGTGTTGTCGCTCTTCCAGCCATCGGTCTTGGCACTGGTGCTGCATGTTGACACACTGAAGCAAAAACAGTTTTCCGACCAAGGACGGCCCTAATTTGGGACATTTATTGATTGCATTTATATCCCACCTTCCAGTGGGTTTATATCCAGACTTTCTTCACGACCACCCTGCTTGGGTAACTGGCCCAAGGTTACCCAGCACACTCCATGACCAGATGGGGATTTGAATCCAGATCTCATGCGTCCTATCCCCTGCTCTAATCAATACACCATACTCTCTTTCTTTGCACACGGAGACCTGGCACGGGATCTTCCACGAGGTTTCTGTTTTGCCGTTGGACACAACATGGGCGGTGAGAGAGTGCGCTGTTGGAAAGGCAGACCTCCACTCGAGAGAAATTGCATGGCTCTAAAAGTGAGGTGCCTGTTTTGCATCCACTCACATTCTTTGAAAAAAAAAAACCCATCATCTCCACGCCCTCCCTATTTGCTGGCCTCAGGGGAGATGGGGGCACACGGAAGATGGAGATGTGGCCGAAACCGACTCACCCCCCCCAAAAAATATTGGGCCAGCCAATCTCCACGAGGGTCTTTCTTTGGTCCACCTGCAGCCCACTAAGCCAAGCTAGCCCTCGTGTCCGGACGCAGTGGTGACCCTTTCTTTTGTATGCCCGAGTTACCACCTTGTACAAGAAGGGGTGACTTGACCATCCTCCGTTTTGCACCTCCGCTCAGCCCTTATCTGCAATTCAGGAAATGAGCTGTAGGAATACAGATAAAAGCCAGGACCTTTGGAGACAAAGCGGTGGCTGAAATGCCTGCAAACACCCCCCCCCTTTGCCCTGATAAGGCGGGATGCCTATTCTGGAAGGGCTCGGGAGGAGGGTCAGGCCCTTCATTCGGGTCCAAAGCTCCAGGCTGGCACAGCATTTTTTCCCCCCGCCCAACAAGGCCAAGAGGGAGGCGGAACATGGGGACTCTCCATCCAGGATCTGCCTTCCACAAGACATTTTGTCTGAGTATGGGAGGAGAATCTTGCGTCTCTGGTTACATCAAGAACTTTGTGGTAAGGAAACTATGGCTTTCCTCACGCTTTCAATGCCAGTTTTATGTAAACTTTGGTTTTCTGCATTCTGTTTCGTCTTCAACGCCCAGTGAACTGTTCAAACAAAGGATCTAGCGCTGTGCTTGTCCAGATTCCGGGATAGATCTCATTTATTATTTGTTTGTGCTTTGTTGTTATCTTCTTAGAAAGTAAAGCTTTGCTTTAATTTATGCCTTCCAACTGCCCCATCTCTCTTCAGAATTTGTGATGGGGGCAGTCTGTTTCTGTTCTTAGAAAATTCAAGTAGACATGCAGAGGAATTTCCTCTTATGATTTTTTTTTTCTTGATAACAATTTGGCCGATTTACTTCTCAGGCTATTGTTTTACCAGGCCATGTTCCCTGGGGAAGAGCGGAGGGCTATTAAAGTGGAACTGAGACGCAGTGGATAATAGTTACAATGGCTTGCTTGAATTAACTAAAATGTTTAATAACTCCCAATGTGTGTGGTTCTTCTTATCAGTTGTTTCCCCTAACAAAGAACAAGCAAATTTAGGGTGTTCTTTTCTTGAAAAATAATTCTGAAATGCCCTGGGAAAAACAATTTGTATACTTTGATGGGTTGCAACTTTCATATTCTGGACTGAGTGATGTGCGAATTTAAAAGCCAGCGTAGTTGTGTTGATGGGTAAGAACAAGGCTTAAAACTTCACAATCCAGAAGGCAGGCAGAACTTTTATTGGGATTGACTACAATTTTGTGATAGTGAACAAGCTCTTGAGTTCTGCTGAGCACTCCATCCGGACAGGTGGTAAAAAAAGGGGAAGTGAGTACAGAAATCCAAAAATATGTGTAGATGTTTCAGGTTGTGAGCTCCATCGTGAAACACAGATAGGAACACAGACAGAGTTCTGACTCCTTTTTAATAATAAAACTGAAAATACATGTGATATTTCTTTTTGTGTGCTTAATACTGCATGTTTTTTAAATAACATCAGGCTCCATTTAATGTGCCTATTACATTCAACCAGCGCAAATGGTTAAAAATTTTCCTCCGTTTGTTTCTGAATTACATTTCCAGCCCCCCGCCCCCAAATGCAGTAGAAAGGTTTAAAAAACTGACAAAATTAATCCATCCTCTTTTAAAGTCTGTCAGACCTCCACATTTCGTATACATGAGTGCAAAAATGGAGACGTGATCACTGTGTTGGCTTCCCGGTGCAAATCAATGGGATGTTTATACAGGGACTTGAGATGTGGGCCATAAATGGAACTGGACAAGGCATAAATCACTCTGGATCAAACTGGGATACACTTGGAAGCCCTGAATTAGCCTATGAATCAGATTGAGGAAACAGCGCAGAGTCCTAATGGAAACCTCTGCCTTGCTTGCGCTCACTGTTGCCTCTCCGTCTTGTTATAGCTGGATGGCTGCAGTTCAGCTTCTCTTTTTTCCTCAACCGATAAATTATTCCTGTATGTGTGAATGACGTCAGATGGAAATGTCACGGAGATGTAAGTTGGCAGAGGAGCATGCCAGAAAGCAAACGCTGGGGTGGCTCTTATGGGGGGCCATGGTGCCAATGGGATATTTCTCTTAAATTTTGTTTAGGTGGCTGTTCCGGGTCTTAGCGAGAAAGCTGCAGGAAAGGGCCTTGTTAGGGTCATTGCAAGAAAGAGGGTTATTTAAGCTAAGGAGATATAGATAGTGGAGATGGGTTGAAGGACGGACGGATGGACGAGTGAGCGGATGGATGGAATTCGTGCTCTACCGTTCCATTAAGAAGTAGAACTCAAGGTGATCAGCAAAACCCATCTAGTTAGCTTGAAAACAAATTACAATAGGGATGAAAAGCAGGTCAAATGATAAAACCTGGTATAATCACAACCACCAAAGCCATTAAAATTGTCAGGGGGAAAAAAGAATCAGTAAAACCGTTTAAAATGTCCAGCTGTGGAGGCTTTAATCCAAATTGGAATCCATGCCAGCACGAGACTAAATGGGAGATGTGTGCAGATATTCTCGACTACAAACCCCAGGATCCATCAGCCAGCATACCAATTGGTAGATTCTGGGTGTTGCAAGCCCAAAAAGCATAAAATGCCAAGCTTCCAAGCACAACTTCCAGAACAGTTTCTGTTTACCTGCTTTTGTTGACTTTGTTCATGTGAATGCAGACCTAAGAGACCCCCTTTCGGGTGTTTCTGCAAACATCATTAGTACCATCTGGAAGTTGAGTCCTGGCCACTGGACTTCTTCCTTGTTAGGTTGAAACGTTTGGTTCCTCCTCCAAGCAGCTTCTTCAGACTGAGGAGAGTCGGTACCCACGCGAATAAAGAAGCCAAACGTTTCAACCTAACAAGGAAGAAGTCCAGTGGCCAGGACTCAAATTCCAGAGAACCTCACCTGGAGGACTGAGAATCTTCACAGAGATGTCATTAGTACCCATTTCCTCTGGAAAATAATTTCTAGAAAAAACAAAACTGCCTGACAAGAAAACCCTTCTTCTTTCTCCTCCTTAAAAAAAAGAGAAGAAGACAGTGGGACCATTCATTTTGCTCTTAACGATGGAAACAGTTTAGACGTCTCATATTTATTATGCATTGGTTTATTTTTGTGTTTTGTTTATACACTGGAGGCCCTGTTCACACAAAAGGAGGAATGTTGTTTGAGTTGTTTCAGTTGACAGAGGTATGCCGGCCCTAGAGAGGTACTCGATATCTTTGTCGTGGCCTTCTATTTTTAAAACCCCAACTGCCGGCCAGCGTCAAGGATGTCTGTTGGCCGTTGTGTTTGAGTTGTGTTTTCAGGCCTTTTCACATTGCGCCCGGCCCTGTTTTTTTCTGTCTTCTTTCTCGTGGCAAAAAGAACTAGAATGTGAGACGGAGTTTTGATACGAAGAGCTTTACACACTGAGTGGGGGACGGGGAAAAAAAAGCCCAATCAAATTTCTTCATTTCCTTTTCTCTGGGTGGGCGGATGTCTTTGACACCCCGGGTGCCCATTCCGGAGATGCTTGGTTATCAACAGCCTCTCAAGGAAAGAATTTTAAATGGCTCTGTGACGTCCAGGAGGCCAGTGGCGTTGGGCAGGGGGAATCTTGAAACCCATTGCTCTCCTTATTATGCACTGACAAAACACACAATGCCAAGAGAGACATGCTTTACATAGCAGCAAATAGATGCCGGGTTGGCAGGGTGTTCTAGAATTTTCTCTCCCTGCCCAAGTGAGATGGAAATTCTGAGAGAGGTGTAGTTTCCACAAGTCGCGGGCAGCCAACATCTTTTTTTTTTCCTCATCAAAATGTCAGAAACTCCTCTGCAGCCTGAAGAAACTTCTGTCAATAGGTCACGGGTTGTGAGAGGGAACAGTTTGAGCACGATGGACAAGAAGCTGAACCTTCTGAACGAAAAGGTAGACAAGCTGATAAATTGCCAGGAAGATCTGACGGGAAAGCTTCAAGAGGTGAACCAAGGCATCAGTGACCTGGAGAAAGGCCTTTCCAAGCTCATGGTTTCGCCAGAACCTGCGGATCAAAGCAGCGGAGGGAAAAGAGGCTGGAAAGAGGACCGCGGGGGGCCTCCAATGGACACCCAAAGCCTATGTGCTGAGATCTTAAAGCTGGTGAAAGCAACCCACCAAGATGCCTCCAAGTACAGGGAACGGATTGAGAAGATGGAGAAGATGGTAGACTCGGTGGATAAGGTTGTGAAATACTTGGGAGAAACTTTCAAGAACTCCAAAGTGGTAGATTTCATTCTGAAGGGTCATGTCCCTTCACACAAAGGGAGCGCTGCGGAAATCCCGGAAGAGGTACGTTCTTCCTCTTGTTCCTGACTTCAAGATCTTCACTTCTTCCACTCAAATAATATATCTTTGGTTCATATAATACCTACTGCCTTGCCTCGTTTTGTCTTCTATATCAGGGGTTAAGAATTTGTGGTCCTCCAGATACCATGTTCCCCCGCAAAATAAGACAGGGTCTTGTATTAATTTTTGCTCCAAAAAAATTCAGTAGGGCTTATTTTCAGGGGATGTTTTATATATTTTATATATACAACAATCTGCATTTATTCAAATACAGTCATGTCATCTTCTGGTTGATGCACAATGATGGAGGCAGGCTTTCACTTAACTAGGGCTTATTTTGGGGGTACCGCTTATATTACGAGCATCCTGAAAAATCATATTAGGGCTTATTTTCAGGTTAGGTCTTATTTTCGGGGAAACAGGGTATTCCTAGACCAACGTCCATCAGCCCCAGCCAGCGTGGCTGGTGGTTGAGGATGATGAGCCTTGGGCTCTGTCAAGATCTGGAAGGCCACTGATTCCCCACTCTTGGTCTTTTTCTTATCAACCCTAAGCTCGAGGAAGCCGTGAGAATATGCTACTCATAATGTAATGACTTGCTTTTTAGAAATGAATCATTCCCGTTGCTCCTTCCAAAGTTGGAAAAGGAGTCCACTGAGATTCGTCATTACAATGTCGAAGAAGTCACTTTCTTATTTCTAGAGTGAAAAACCGATACAGTTGCTCAGGTGTTACCCGATCCCGGGCTGAACTGTGTCACCGCATTTCCCATCCAAGCTGACAGGTCTTTATCAGTTGATGGAGAAAGGGTTCAAGAAATGCGCCCTGCGACATGGCCCTTTTGGCCGTGTGCCGTGGTGGGTCTCTCATCGCTTGGGAAGGGCCGATAAGCTCAAACCGAGCAAGCGCACAAAGCTGAAATCGCCAACAATCTGTGAAATCAGAAAGCGAACATCTGAATGGAGGAGAGGGTGGAGATGCAGATCAGTGGTAAGTGCATGGCTTTCCACAAGGCTGTGTCTGCATCTCTTGGTGCTTTACAGAGGACTGTCTTTGTTTGAAGGCAGCATCCGTTGCTGAGACAAGAGGATTTCAGAAGGCCTTCCAGGTACCGTTTGACCTGCATCCGCCCTGACTGTCTAAGCTCCAAGGCAGGTCAGAGAGGCAAACAGTCACAGCCTTGACATTTCCCATAATCATAAAATACTTGTGTTTGGGTAGGCATTCACATGCATTGCCTTGCCGTCGTCTTTCTCATGACAGATGAATAGCAATTCTGTTTGAATGATCGCCATTCTTTCTAAATTGGGCTCCCCCAGTGAGCTTTCGGGCACCTTCCGCTTCTGGCTGTTCGTGTCCGTGTTTAGCTCCTTCTGGAAAAGCAGAAACGAGACCTCGAGGAGGAGGAATGGGAGGCTTCATGTTTTTGTTAGGTGAGGATCAAGACTGGGCCTGGAGGGAGAGGAATGAGTGGCTGCCTGAAAATACTAAATTAAAAAAACAACTCAGAAATACATACAGTATTACTATTTCCAGGGTGTATTTACCAGAAGTGGCGGAGACCTTGAGGAGGAGGAATGGGAAGCTTCATGTTTTTGTTATGTGAGGATCAAGAGTGGGCCCAGAGGGAGAGGAATGGGTGGCTGCCTGAAAATACTAAAGAAAAAAACCTCAGAAATACATATTACTATTTCTAGGGTGTATTTCCCAGAAGTGGCCATTGGAGGGAGCCAGAAACCATGCAATGTACAGCGTTTGAGAATTCTGCATTTTTCAACATCCGCAGGGGGTTGGAACCGATCCTCCACAGAGACCGTGGTCCTACTGTAGTTCCTCACACTGGGTCATTTGTTTACTTTTCTTTCTTTTTCTGTTTTTCTGTTTTCGTTTTTTAGACAAAAGATAAGCCAGACGAGAAAGGTGCAAAGGGGAAGCATGCACCTTCGAACGAGGGGATCCAGGCACACGGCAAGAATCCTTCGGAAGGTAGTTTAAGAGATTTCTTGATGCGTAAATAAACAACCTGCGAAGCCCTAACCCACTTGGGCCCAAGCTATCTCAAGGACATGGTGGTCCCAGAGGGCTCCCGTAAGGAGGGACTGGAAATAATTTCTGAATTCTTTGTACCTAGGAAACTCTGCAAGGGTCTCCGTGAATCAGGGCTGATTTGATGGAATCAAATTTAATCCTTGTGTCTACTCTAGGATATACCAGTAGGGAGTGCAATATTTATCCACAGGCTTGTGACTGATATGCATTGTTAGGTGTTTGTCTATAAACCTGTGGGTCAACATTTTACTTCTTGTACGTGTGAAAGTGAACAATAACCCAGGAAAAGTCACATTTAAGCCAATCTACGAGGCTCTAAGGAGCCACAGGGCTTTGCCCGCTGTTTTTATGTTCATTTTTCCCCTTGGACACGGCGAAAGAGGTGAGCACAGCTGCCTCTTGGAGAACGTGTGTGGCAGCATGACTTCGAGAAGGGCCAGGATAGTGGCAAGCTTTTAGGGTGATGGAGCGAAGGCCTTAGCCTCAAGTGAGCCCCAACTCTGGCATACGGACCCCACAAATGCCTTGGCGTGCCAAGAGGTGATGCCAACTTGGCCAAAGAAAATCAAACAGGCATAATACATACGTAAGAGCTAAGGGGTGTTGTTTTTAGTGAGTGTTTTGAACTGCAACTTGGGAAGGTGAAGTGGGTGGTCTCTCTCTCTCTCTTTTTATTTTTTTTGTCTAACCTACCTCGCAAGGTCGTTGGGGGAACACAGTGGAGAAGGGGAGAGCTATAGCTACTTTTAGCTCAATAGGTGGACAAGATATACCATTAACTGCCATGAACAGGGACAAGCGAGAGCCCCCGGTCCACTAATCCCTGTTTTCCCCCTATTAACCCCCCCCGATTAATATAACCCCCCCCCCCAATTTAATAAACTTTCCATCCCTAGAAAACAAAAGGGAGAACAAGCTGGATGAGTGTCCTGGGGGATGTGAAAAGGTGAACTTGGCTGGCCCCGTCCTTCCCAAAGCTGACGCCAGTTTCCGTACGCAAGAGAAGATGGCCCAGCTGGAAAAGGCGCAAACAGTTGGTTCAGGAAACAGCGTGAAGGGATGCCGGAAGCCAACAGACACGCTCCAGAACCACAAGCTGCTTGCTGGCCCAAGAGGTGGGAACCCGACAGAAAGCCCACCAACGGGCGATACTGCTCCAAGCCCGGAAGAAATTCCTTTGAAACACGTCAACCCAAAATCAAAGGGAAGTGAAAAAAGCATCTCCTCCCGACTCACGAGCCCCCCCAGGGAAGCCGAGCCATCCGCCTCAAAGCCTGCTGGGGAAGTTACACGAACGAGGTAGAAATGTCTTCCCTTTATTTTAAATTTTTAATCTCTTGGGTACTGATTTTTTTAATGGAGCCTAGAAGGATCAAGTCTATACAGTAGGATCCCCTGTATCCACAGAATCAGTATCCACTGATTAATTTATCCATGGTCTGGAAATATTAAAAACATTAAGTGAAAAATCGTGGAAATATATATTTCTAAAGATGAAGTTGCCAGAACTGGACAATAGCATTTACTATTAAAATAGTGTTTGCTAAAATCTGTGTTTTTCAGGCATCCGCAAGGGGACTTGGAACCAATCCCCTGCGGATATGGGGGACTTATTGTAGTTGCAAGCAGGGAGCCCCAGATGTCCCTGGACTATATTATACAATGTCTAAATTATAAAATCCACGTTCATGTTCACTGCTTTAAATAAGGGGATGGTTCCCGAAATAGGTTTCATAGGAATTGTGTCCAGTGGAGAGCATGGGCACCCATAGGCAAAAGAGGGGCCATGCATCCTGCTTTACGAGGGGCAGTCCTCTAGTAGTTGAAGTAAAGACAAATGGAGTTATCCCCCTGTTGCCAGATGTGGAGATGACGTTCTAGGCAGTCAATAGAAGCCCAACTGGATGGCACTACCAGCTGATTCTTGTCCTAGTCTATTTCCAGCTGTCATTTCCAGCTAGAGCAAGTTATGGAATCAATTAATCCAGGGTATGTAACACTTAGGCAACTTGCGCTCATTCAACGGGACAACATGATAGTGACTGGCATTTGGATCCAGGTGAATATGGTGAGCTGGGCTGTGTTGCTAAAAAGGCTTCCCATAAAGTGTGCAATGATAAGGTTGTGTTTGCTTGGCAGGCTTTCAATTAACGTGCAAATGAGCGAAGTTCGGGACAAGACATCTAAGAGCAAAGAGGGGAATGTTGGCATCAGCGGAAGTAAAAGTGTTGGGCTACCGGCCCCTCTCCCTTCGCCTTCAGTGGCCGAAACAGCTAAACATCTGCCAGAACCTTGCAAAGCTAAGCAGGCCTCTAAAAGCAGCGGGACTGAGCCAGCTCACGAAAGCAAAGGGGCGAGGCCTCCTGACAAGCCAGCTGGAAAGCAGACCCCCAAACCAGACGGCCCTCCCTCACCGAGGCCACTTGCGACACCCCAGGAGAAAGGAGGGATCGGAGGCAAAGCCGGATCAGGCCCGCGCAAGGTAGCAGAGGACTCTGGGAGAGAGCTAGCAAATGCTGCGAAAGGGCCTAAGGAATCCGCCGAGGGGCCCCAGGAGTCTGCGGAAGAAGTCAAGCTAGGGACTGTGGGACTGGGCAGCAAACTCGCAGGAAGACGAGCGAGCAGATCGGATCAGGGGGCAGGGAAGCCCTCCGGAAACGCTCCAGCCCTCGGAGCCGACAAACCGGAGGAGCTAATCATTGGTAAGTCATTCATTGCCTGGGATCTGAGCACCTTTAGCTCCTGCTTCTGCTCCAGATCTAGCACCTTTTGAACCTGATCTAGCTGCCTTTATCACAGCCGGAGCTCAAAAAAGTGACCTTTTTGGTTTTTTTGCATAACAATCCCTAAATAGGCTAATGAGCATGAGGAGCAGGAAAGGGGGAGACATAAAGATGCTAAGATATGGTCTGTTTTCACTTTTTAAAAACTCCTAGACCCCTTTGCTGCCCACCCCTTACTTGACAAAGGGGTTGTCATGTTGAACCTTTTCTTTAAAAAAAGAGATGTCTTAATTAAGACAGTGGAGGTGGATGACTCTGATTTTAAGGAGGGAGAACAAATGGAAGTTTTGGATTTTCTTGGACTACAAATACCATCATTCTGTTCTGGGAGTTCTGTTCCCCCCCCCTTTATGGACACCAGAATGTGGCTCACCTGGGAGAAAGGCCTAAACAGGAAGGCTGTGGGGCCTAGCTCTGCCTAGGCTTCCTGTTCCTGCCCCAGTGCTAGCTGGGAGCTTTCTTTCTGAAGCAAGGAGCTTGGACAAAGAGCTAGTCCTAGCTAAGCGTCAAAGGCTTCCGGTTTGTAAGATGTCAGTAAGATAGGCAGAACTCCCAGAATGGAGAATTAGGGTAGTTGCGCTCTAGAAAATCTGAAAATCACATACCTAATGGTGCAGCCACGCTGGACTTAAGTCTGAATTTTACAAAAGCTGTCCAGGGTGCTGAACCGTATCCATAAAACAGATTTAGCACCTTAAGAGAGTTCTGGTAAAGTCCAGGCAAAAGATTGGAACAGATTCACCCAGTCACACGGCTACCACTGGAGTTGCCAATCTCCTGTTGAATAAAGGTAATGTCCAGAGGTGGAATTTTCATCATGGACTTTCTTGATGGGTCACCACGGCCATCTTTGTATCTCCTTCACCAGATAACTATGAACCCTGACCAGTGTTCATGTTGACAAACAGTTTTTCTACAGTGATGGTGCTAAGACTGGTGGATTGGGACCAGCACAAGCCCCATTTGTTGGCTGGAATCCTGTTGCTTAGGGTAGCAAGTCATCCTTGAGTAAGTCTATTGAATCAGAGAGATTGGGTGAGTCGGCTCTTTAGTAAGTTCAATTGATTTCAAGTTATGACTTTCTTCATTGTCGTAAGTTGCAACTAGAGTCGGCCTATTTGAATCGATGGAACTGATGAAGGGGTCAGCTCACCCAATCTCCACTGATTCAATGGGTCTACGCCAAGGTGACTTGCTACACTAGCCAACAGGATTTCAGCCCTTGGGTTCTGATAAAGATATAGGCGTTTATTTATAATTCATTTATTTAAAATGTTCTTAACCCCACCTTTCTCCTAAAAAAGGACCAAAGGTGGTTTACATTATTAAAAATGCAACATTAAAAGCTAAAAAGAGCCAGTTATTCAAATATTAAAAAATAATTAAATACACATTGCATTTAAAAGGTACTTGGGGCCTTTAAAGGAAAATGTGTCCGTTGGTTAAGCCTCAAGAGAAGACCCATCATTTCATTGTGACCTTTTCTTATTCTCATTGGGAAAGTGGAGGTGTAGAAAACAGAGACAGAGCGGAGAGGTCTACTACAAAGGACGATCAAGGCAACTGCTAATTGGTTTTTCTCTTTCAGACGACAGTCCACCCCCTCCAGCTCCTTTTGATCATCGGATTGTCAGCATTAAGCAAACCGATATATCTGCCAGTTACTCAGTATCCCATCATGAAGTCTTGGGAGGGTGAGTTTAATTGTACCATGAGTTAAAGAGTGGCTGTATCTTTGTGAACAGCAAACATAAAAGTACTATGATACCTTCAAGATTAACAAACATTCTTCGGCATCATTTCCCCCCCTGGGTTATAATCCGTTTCTTCTGTTTATAACAAGGGTGCTAATCTAATTGTAGTTTTCTCCAAATCCACATGGGTTGATCTTGTGTTCTGACACAACATTTTTATGTTTTCCTGTATCGTTTGACCTGTAAAGCTATCTGAACATATGCCCACCCTCTACAGCAGTTTATGGAATCCTTCATCTCCTTTAGCACAGAGTGGTGGGTGGAAGGATGGACGGATGGATGGACGGACGGGAGGGAGGGAGGAAGTGCATTCAAGATGTCTTACAAAATGTTTAAGTCAATCACAATATTTTCAAATTAATCATATTGAAACAACAAATATATAATGCAACTTAAAGCTGTTTAAAAGCACTTTATGAAGGTTATGAATAAAATTTCCCCTTATTACAACCCGTACTTTTCAGGCAGTTCCTTGCCAAAATCCTGCCTTATTTAAATATTTTTAAAGCTGGTGAGCTTGGATGGTCCTGGGCCTACCTGTGGTGGGGAAATCCCAAAATACACGGTGGGACTTCTGTGTAAACAAACATGCCTTGAATAAGAGTGTAGGCTGCATAATTCCAATCTCATTGTTGACTTGACATTGGCTGTCAACTAGAGGTTGTAATGTAGAAGTTATTGACTTTCCTGTTATTTAGATCGGAGGAGGGAGGCTTTGGCTCCATGGGCCTAATCTGCCCCGCAGGGAGCTTGAAGAGGGGGTAGCCCAGGTCTCCCACCCCCACTTCACTTCCCCACCCCAAATTCAGGCCAGAAATATCCCCTCTGACAGCTTTAGAAATGCACAGCTAAAGGGCAGCCTGGCCGGCGCGGGTACAATTACGGAATCCAACACAGACCTTCATCAAGTCGTCATTCCAACGTGAAACGGAGCAAACACAAATGGGGGTGTAATATTTTAACGTAAGCACCGAACAACTGGCTGGAAAGATCAACCTTAATCCCCGCTTAAGCTGGGAGAAAGAGGAGCTCCGATACTCCTGACCTCCCGATTCCGTTCGCTTTGTACCAGGTTATTTTTAATTGACGATAAGAATAGTCGGTCTCCGGAGGCGTCGGCCGCGAGTCGTCCCCTAAGCTCTCATCCCTTTGGGCCTGATGACTTTGGCTTCTCCTTCTCTTGACAGGGGGCGCTTCGGGCAAGTCCACAGGTGCGCCGAAAAGTCAACCGGACTCTGTCTTGCGGCCAAAATCATCAAAGTGAAAGCAGCCAAGGAAAGGGTAATTTTATCCGCTTAAAAATTAAAAAGTACATGCCGGCTCTCTCCGAAAAAAGCTTGCTCCCTGATCAAGGCTCCATCCGGTTCCTTATCCTTCCTTGCCAGTTCTCCTACTTGGTTCCACACCATTTCCCTCATCCTGTCTCTCTGTTTTGTGTGGATTGTGAACCTGCTCAGTTGTCATTCAGCTATTTCTTTCAGGCTCTATTCCCTTGATTTTTTAATAACCCTTTCTTGGTTGCTTCTCAAACATGCAGATGCCTCCTTCTTGTTTAAAAAACAAGGGTGACTGATAACTTTTATTTGGCTACTTAAGTCGCACATATAGACACAGGGGCAGCTTTAGAGTCCAGCGGCTGTCCTCATCAGGCTGTGCATTATGGAGGGAGAAGAGGAAGTGAACACTTCCAAAAATTGCCCCAAATATTCATTGTTGGATGTTAAGACCAGGTTCTATCCTTCTTATTTATTTCTGATGACCCATTTCCATGTCATAGATAACCGGATACTGGAAGAAGGGATTCCTTAAGGGCTGATTATGTGTGATTGTCATAGCAGGTGCTTTGCTCGCATCCTGTAGCTTGCAGATTAGCTGGTTGGGTTTTGTAATTGGTCTGCAACCTCTTCTTTTGTGAGTCTGATCGGCAGACAGGAAGGGCTGCCTCAGTCCTGGATCTCGAGCAGTAGCATCATTTCAGTTCCAGTGATGGACGGTCATGAACCCATGTATCTCTCAGTGACCTGGTTGTGTTAATAGTGTGGGTGTGTATCTACATTACAGTTCAAGCAGATGCTGTTGCTTTAATTGTATTGGCTTTGTCTTACAGAATACTGGGCTTGACGTCCCTACCATCTCTGTTGTATTCAAAGCTCTCTAGCAGGGACTTCTAAGTCTCTGAAGGAGATGACATTTCTAGCATCCACCAGTTAAAATGGTGTCAGCCACCTATAACTATAGAGTAGATACATTCTTGGTAGGAATAACCAACCAATTTTTAAAAAATGGTCTGCATTTGTTGTTGTTGCTTTTTATTGTATAATCATGCCACGTTAAGATGGTCAATTGGAGCAAAAATCTCATCCATAGCAAAATGTCTTCACATCTGGATTTTTGGTGAAAGGGGGTGGCAGTGCCCTTGAGCTCCAATAGTAAACTGCTGGATAGATTAGTGGTTTAAGCTTCTGGAGCCAGAGGTTGGGAGTTCAATTCCCCACTGTGCTTCTTGGACAGGGGCTGAACTCAATGATCTGTTGAGTCCCTTCCAGTTCTGCATTTCTAAGATGAGGAGGGTCGTTAAGTGCTGAAATGTTTGTCTACTGTTGCTAAAGCTGGCACGATACTTTTTATCTTTCAGGAGGAAGTGAAGAATGAGATCAACATCATGAACCAGCTCAACCACGTCAACTTGATCCAGCTTTATGATGCTTTCGAGTCCAAGAACAATGTCACATTAATCATGGAATAGTAAGTCCTTGTAATGACTAAGGAGAACGAAAATTTGGGTTTAATTACATCAGGAGGGTGCCAGAGTGTGGGAAGCTGATCTTGACAGAGCACTGGTTCCATTATCTCCTTTACCACTTTTGAACCCCTTTTCATCAATATATTTAATTCAGAGTTTAAAATTAAAAATAAACACAGAAATGTAAAATTTGCTATATAATACGAAATTTGGAAAAAAATAAGCTTTGAACTTTTAAATTATGAAAACATCATAGAATTTTTGTATGAGTGAACTGTTCACAGGACAGGGTTGTGTAGCTCCATTCTGATGACATATTGATTCAAACCTTGCAATAAAACCAGCTAAATTTGGAGCCTCTGATTTGATGAATTAGGGACCTGACAGCACTTGAGCTAATAAGAGGATCACCTGTTTCTTCTCAATATTTTATGTTTTCAGTGTTGACGGTGGTGAACTGTTTGACCGGATCATAGATGAAAACTACAGCCTTACCGAACTGGATGCGATCCTTTTCACCAAGCAGATCTGTGAAGGAATCCACTACCTGCATCAACAATACATCCTTCACCTGGATCTGAAGGTGAGAGAAATTGTAGCCGACTTCCTATAGAACTCAAAAATCAGATGGGAACAGAGTGGAACCCATCGGATGAAGGAAAATGCAACCCAGATTACATTTCAAAAGCTTTGCTTTGTCTCCTCTTTCCTCAAACAATTCTTCCTTTAATTCCTGGTGTTTAAATTGTGGCTACAGTTGTTTGTATAGTCAAAAATAGCACTTACACACTAAGAAAAGAAAAAAAAGTCCAGCATGGCCCACTTTGAATAATAATTGACTGGAAAGCGAGAGAACAATATAACGAAACGTAATGCCATTAAAAGTGGGCTCTGGGTTTATTTGTTTATTTATAAATTACAGATACGATCATTCCTCCAAGGCACTGAGGGTGTTGCCAGAATGAGATTTCAAATCTAGGTTTCAGCATGCTCTCTTCTTTTGCAGCCGGAGAATATACTGTGTGTGAATCGAACAGGGAACCAAATCAAAATAATTGACTTTGGATTAGCAAGGAGGTAAAGCCTTTTTTCCCCACTAAGATTGTTTGTTTGTTTTAGCTTTTAAAGGAAGTTTTCAAAAAGATGACAGACCGGAAAGGAAAAGGAAGGAAACATAAACCTTTTTTTCGTGGGTTGACTACACTCTCATCCCCCTGCATGGCTTGTGTGCCTGTTTCAATTTGGGGGAGTCACCTTCTTGGACTACAATGACCAGAATCCCCACACCAGCATGTCCTGAATTAACATTAAATAAATCTCCAGCTAACTGGGGGGGGTCGCCAGTTTCTTTTATCGATTAGGTGTCTTAAAGCTGCAGTTGATTTACAGCAACTTATAGGGTATGTGAGATATTTAAGTAGTGGCTTTATCAGGGCTGCTCCCAAACGGCCCAGTTTCCACGGCCAAAGAAGGTTTTGAACCCAGGTTTCCTCAGGCTTAGCCCACCAACTCCATACCAGAAATTCGAATTCCCACTTAAATAACATTGTCTTTTACGACATTGTTCATATCTGCTCTCTCTCTCTTTCCCTCGTTTCTGGTGAAGGTACAAACCCCGTGAAAAGCTGAAAGTGAATTTCGGCACACCCGAATTTTTGGCCCCCGAGGTGGTGAACTATGACTTTGTATCGTTTCCAACGGATATGTGGAGCGTCGGCGTCGTAGCTTATATGCTGTGAGTAAACTTTCAGGAGATATGGAGGAAAGATCATTGTCGGCTCAACCTGGGCGAAAATGATGAGGCCAAAATGTAGGATTTCAGGAAGTTAGAAATCAAAAGAGGGGCTCCGCAAGAGGTTGTGTCTTTTGCCACACCGCCTCTCCTGTGCCCCTAAATTTGCCCGGTGGCTGAGATGTCATGATGGACCCCACGGAAGAAGGTTCAGCTCCTCATCCGGTCAGTTTCCGTACATGGACTGTGTCTGAGGGCCTGTCGTTTTGTTCTTTGACTCAGTCAGCAAATGCTTTGGGCTGCCCCTAGTCAGGGGTAGGAGGAAAAGACAGGATGAGGCCGAGAGGGTACATGACATGGTAGAAATGTGTCTACTGGTTCTGGAATCCTGTATCTTAGGTTTCAAGACTGGGAGAAGACTTCAAGAAGGCGGTTTGTATCAGTGGGCCCGCCCAATAAATGAAATGTTCTCTCTTAGAATCATGGATTATTGTTGGTGCTGGCTGAGCTTTCTGGCAATTTAAGCCCCCAAAATCCACAAAGCCAGTTAGTTTTAACCAGCACTTCCCAACGTTTAGGCCTCTTGTCCCCATTTTGCTTTCTGAAGACTCCTCACCTCTCCCAAACAGTCCTTGACCATCATCCAACGTTCTTTTAACAAAACACGATTTATGCTTATCTTTTCATTTCAAATGTTTTTCTACCCAGTTTTTGTGCTCTTTTTAGGGACTTTATAACTAGCTTTAATTTTTCTTTTAAATTTCTTTGGTCTGTTTTTTTCTTTTCTTTTTAGGATCAGTGGCTTATCCCCTTTTCTGGGGGAAACCGACGCCGAGACCATGAATTACATTGTCAATTGCAACTGGGATTTTGATGCAGAAGCCTTTGAGCAAGTCTCACAAGAGGCAAAAGACTTTGTGTCCAGACTTCTCATAAAGGAGAAGAGGTAAGAGGCTTCTGCGGTTTAGCCCACACCGCCACCACGTCCCCGTTCTTTTAACAAAACACCATTTATGCTTGTCTTCTCATTTCAAATGTTTTTCTACCCAGTTTTTGTGCTCTTTTTAGGGACTTTATAACTAGCTTTAATTTTTCTTTTAAATTTCTTTGGTCTGTTTTTTTTTTCTTTTTAGGATCAGTGGCTTATCCCCTTTTCTGGGGGAAACCGACGCCGAGACCATGAATTACATTGTCAATTGCAACTGGGATTTTGATGCAGAAGCCTTTGAGCAAGTCTCACAAGAGGCAAAAGACTTCGTGTCCAGACTTCTCATAAAGGAGAAAAGGTACCTTTCTTTTGTTTCGAATCAAGTTGAAGCATAATCCACTTTGGGCAGTGATTGATTGATTTGTTATATTTTATTTACAAGATTTTTTTAGCCACATATTTATTATATTTTATTTACAAGATTTTTTTAAGCCACACCATTACCAACGGTCTCTGAGCGGGACTTTACAGGGACTTCATGTCCCATGCGCCCCTCTCGTTCATGGCTCCTGCTCTTGACCTTCTTTGGACCAAGCTTGAAGACATGCTTAGGATGTATCTATAAACGGTCCTTCCTTGAGTGGAGAAAAATATCTGCTTGTCACAGCACCTGCATTTCCTCACCTCTGTACTTTGCATCCAAGTTATGCTTTGTTTCTGATTGGTCACTGGAAGGCAAGCACTGGCTTCATTGGATTGCTGTGGCATGTGGTTTTGAAGGAAATGCATTATGGGAGGGGGGAAATGCCCAACTGGAGAGCATATGTATTCCCTTAAGTGTCTTGTTGGACCCTATGCAAATTATCCAGATCTGTCCAATATTGTCGGCATCCAGAGCAATCCCAAGACTGGCAGCCAAGAGTTCTTGTTTGGTCCAAGATGCCGTCAAGACTCAGAGGGTGTTCGTGAAATAAAGGAGCCATAATTTGGTTGGCCAAGTTGCCTGTTCACAAGTTCTCTTCCTTCCTTGCTCCCCTCAGTGGCAGAATGAGCGCAGCCAATTGCCTTAAACATGAATGGCTGATGGACCTACCTGCCAAAGCTCAGAAATCCAGGGCCCGGTTGAAGTCTCAGCTCCTGCTACGGCGTTATATGGCCCAACGGAAGTGGAAGGTGAGCACTCTGTGGATTTCCAAGTTCTTTTCTGAGAGCAGTTCAAGGTGCTGTTGCCTCTTCTTTAAAAAACAAACAAACACGTGTGTGGATCAGACAGTAGACATAGATCAAGACTCCCTGGTAGATCTCTAGATGGGTTGCAGTAGATCAGAAAAGATTTCTAACTCTCAGTTGCTAAAAAACAAAAATCCCCTACCCCCAAATTAGGTTGCTGACAAAGAATATTAAAGAGAAAACCAGACATGGAGTTTTTTTGTTTGGGGGAGCGGATTTATGAGTACCGATCACAGACTCCAGGGTCAACCCACTTGATTCAATGGGACAAGTCACAAGATGAACTTCAGTCTGACTCCTTTTATTATTGCTGCTGCGGTACGGAGCTAAAATTCATCTGCCACCCCAGATTTTTGGAAAATGGGCCATGCCGATTCTGAGAGTCACAATCCAAAATAGCCAGTTTCCCGGTTCTACATTTGAGTCAGCTTCTGCACAGCTGGAGGGGGAAAAGATTTAGCCACTAAAGACCGGATTATCACTGTTTCCTGCAATGTTGCACCGGCGCTCATTTCAATGTTTCCATTTACCTTGCAGAAGCATTTTTACGTGGTTGCTGCGGCCAACAGGTTAAGAAGGTTCCCAAGCATGTCCGAGAATCCTGCGTAACCTGCTGAAGAAGCAAAAACGCAAAAGACTTGGCGATTTCAAGGAAGAGCCCATTTTCTGCACATTGGACAATAAGAATGCCATCTTCGTCTTAGGTCACACAGCCACTGTGGACTTAAGTTTCTGTTTTCCCAGACTAGTAGGATAGAAGAGAATGTTCTGTCAGAAAAGAAAATGTGGGCAAGAGTTAAGGAGGTCTAGAAAAACCTGAATGAAGGCCTCTTGAACGTACATTTAATTCTCTAATGATATGTCAGTTGTTGGAGATTCCCTTTTCCGAGCTTCTTCTAAGGACATAAATCCTGTTTGAGAACCTCTTTTGGTGCGCGCGCGCGCGGGGGGGGGGGGGTTTCATGTAGTTAAATAAGAAAATCTTGTTGCCAGGACTGTGTGAAATATTTTGTAATTGCAGCATTTTTGCTTTGAAAGATAGGCGGAAGGGGCTGAACAGAATTGGGTGTGAGGGGCGTTTGCCTTGCTAAGCCTTTGCATTTGACTGGGTTTCGTTTCCCTGCTGTGGCTGTCGTTTCACGCTATATTCCTGCCTTTTCTCCTCACTTGTCTACGCGTTTTAAAGTGGCAAAACTGCCCCCCCATAGGCTGGGGGAACCCTCATCGTTGTTCACAAGCATCAATGACAGCAGTACCCCTGAGTGTGGTCAATTGCTTTCAAGGGTGTGTTGCACTTTGGGGTACAGTACCGCTCAATCAGTTATGAAATGAGTTACTACCACCAGTATAATTCGTTGACCTCCAGGCTAGAAAAACACCGGCACTTTTCCTTTTATTGGTAGCTGAGTGATGAATTAGTTATTTAAGCTCATTTGGAGAATAGTGATTCTGGATCAGTAGTAAGGTTGCTACAGCAACTCCGGCTTTAGTATTGAATTGGTAGTTGCAAAACAATGCAAAAATGAGAAACAAGAATGGAGAAATAAAAATATTTATTTATGTTTCAGCACCAACGTCTTGCATGAAGTGGAATTTTTAAAAAGCATCCTATGCCAGAAGCTAACCTTAAAAACACTTGAGGCTTAAAATATGGCCCAAATTTATAAAAAGGCCAGATGGATACAGTCGAAATTCTGTTGTTTAAAACTGCTTCAGAGGGCATCTGTGTCAAGGCAGCGACTCTAGGGAATTCATATTTGAGTGGCTAGTCCTCATGACTGAGACCCAGCACTCTGCAAAGCCATCTCATAGGCTCCATCGCAGAATCATCCTGGCGAATAAAAACACAGCCTAGTGTCTGAATGAAGTTTAAAAAACAATCATGAGCTAAAAATTATCCTTCAAGTTAAAAAGCCTGGAGAGATTCGTTCCTCGTTTGGGGGTGCTCAGATCAAGCACTCTCCCGTTGCGACTTTGCAGCGTTTTCCAATATCCTCCTTTTCCATTCTTCGTACTCTTCTTTCGCTTCGGTTTCGCTTCTCGGCCGCTTGCGAGGAACAACCGCCTCTGCCTCAGGACCTGTTGGGATGGGGGAGCAATTCTAAATTGAGAATTTAAGAGGCCTCCATAATGGGGTATATGTGAAAACTATAGTCTGCAAATGCTGGACAACATCTCCCATCTTTCTGTAGCCTTGGCTGGGGCTGATGGGATTTAGGATCCTGCAAGGTGCCCACCCTGCATCTAAACCACTACGGACTGCTTCATTCCGCGGTGTAGATGTGGCTTTCCACGCAGCCTCTCCTCCAGAGTCGGACCACCCTGGGACCAGCTTAACTTCCAGAAGGTCGCTGCTTCCTGCGAGCCCTCACCACCATGCCCTGGAGCCCTTGACGCAAAACCACAGCAGCGTAGCTTTGCACAAGGGCTCAAAGAATCCAGATTAACCCTAACGTGAATAGGAAATACCACTCTGAGAGAGGGAGCAGTTCTTTTTTTCTGCAAGAAAGGCATTTTCTGATAACAAGAGCTAAACATGAATCCTATGGACTGGGTGAATGTCTCTTCCTCGCTATTATTAATAATAATAAAAACACTGCCGGTGGGTGGCTGGCATTTCCTCAGTACAGATGGGGTGACATTCAAATCAATTCCCATTCCAGCATTTAACGAAGGAGTGGGCAAAGAGCCCCTTCTCCAGATGATGAAGGACTCCAATGCCCAACATTCTTCACTACTGACTGGGCTGGCTAGCGCTGATGGGAGATGTGGTCCAATTGTATCTAGAACTCTGCCCGCCCTGATTTAACTCAGTACCGCATTTCATCCTCCGCCTCCTCGGCGTCTCCCCCCACCCCACAAAAACTTCTCTCACGGCCACACAAACCTCAGGGCCCCCTTAGAGGTTTAGATCCAACTGTGGGTCAGTTAAGGGCTGCCTTCTATGAACAGCAATTTTAAAACGTACAGAGAAAATACATGGCGGGATTCACAGACGCTATAGGATCACACTGAGTTTTCTGAGCAGAAAACAGGCTGGAAGGTTAGAAATCATGCCCTGCGCGCACACACACGATGACAGGGGGGCGAGTTGGGCCAAATCCCACCTACCCTCTTCCTTTTCGAGACATCCAGTCAAAGTCTTCTGGGTTTTAGGGGTCTCCTCTCCCGAATGACTGCCGTCTCCTTTGAAAGAAACAAATATAAAGCTTTTATTGCAACAGAGACTTAATTCGACAGCAGAGGAGCCAGTAGAATACAGCCGTCTTTACTCCTCGGGAAAAGACACAGAATATCTGGGGGTTCAGAGGTCCATCCAGCCACAAAACCCAGAAAGCTGGTCTCGTGTTCAGCCCGATCTACCTCACAGGCTTGTTGTGAGAAGCAAGTGGGGAAGAGGAGAGCTGAACACAACAGAAAGTGGAAGAGAAACGGGACAAATCATTTTTACTGCATCTGATATACCTGTGAGGTGGGTGGGTGAAAGTAAAAACCTTCTATGAGCAGTGGGCCCTGTCTTCCTCTGATGGACCTCACAACGGTCCAGAGAGGTAGGCCAGGCCCCAAAGTCCGTCGGTGGGTTCCGTGGCTCAGAGGAAGCTGATAAGATGAAACGACAGATCCCCATGCTGGAAGTTATAGTTCGTTGCTGGACCACACTAAAAGTGGGGAAACGAGGCCGAGAAGGCAATTAGAAAATACATACGACTGATTTGCTGGCTGATCTTCTCTAGCTGGCTGTGAAGACGGTAAAAGATGGTTTTCTTCACCCCAGAGGCAGCCGCCATCTTGTTTTTATCCACTTTAAGTTTCAAACACCTGCCAAACCAAGGGGGGGAAAAACTACCTTTGAGAAGGGTCATCTTACGTAACATGTAGCCACGTACATAATAATCATGTGCCAATTCTGATGTATGGTGACCCTTTTTAGAGGTTTTCAATTTCCTTCTTCTCGGGGTGGGGGGGAAATCCCTGTGACTGTTCAGCTGGCCCAAGGCCACCCAGGCTGGCTCTTCTCCCAGGAGGCCCCAGAATCGAACTCGCAATCTCTGGCTCCACCTAAACCACTGAGCTATCAAGTTAGCCATGTAGAGAGGATGCTATTATTCAAAACCATCTCCACCACCCACCCAAATCTGGCCAAACCAAGGTGCTAAAATCCTGCCATGGATTTGGGCTTTCAAACACCTTTTCACCTGCAGCAGGTAAGAACTTTCCATAGGCTACACTTCAGGAAGAGCACGGGTTACAGACCACCTTACCTACAAGCCGTAAACAGTGCTGCAGTAGCGAATAACGGTTTGGATAAGTCTAGATCCATCTGCTGAGATTCTGGCAAGCTGGCTTTATACCTGAAACAAGAAATCCACGATTTTTTTGGTGATCACTATTTCAATATATCAGACAAAACACAAAAGAAAAATGAAGAAGACAAAAATGTTATGGCACGTTAAAGGCTGATGATTTTAATTTCAACGTGAGCTTTCGTGGACAAGACTCCTTCCTCTGACTTTAGGGTGGGACTACACAACAAATTTATATCTCTTTACAGTCGTGCCCCGCCGGACGATTACCCTGCTCTACGACAAATCCGCATTACGTTGGCATTTTTGCAATCGCAAAACAATGTTTTAAATGGGGGAATTTCGCTTAGCAATGATCGGTTCCCTGCTTTGGGACATCTGATCGTCGGGTTTCAAATGGCCGCCGGCTGAAGACAATGGCCCCCCACTGTTTTCTAGGACAGATTCCTCGCTTTACAGGTACTGAAAATGGCCGCCCTATGGAGGATCTTCACTGGACGAGCAAGTATTCAGCCCATTGGAATGCATTGAATGGTTTTCAATGCATTTCAATGGGTTTCTTTATTTCATTTGATGATGTTTTCACTCTACAGCGATTTCACTGGAACAAATTAGCATTGTCAAGCGAGGCACCACTGTATAAATAGTGATACTGGCACCCAGCGGAGCAGCTCTGATCTCACCTGTATTTGTGAACCGCAAGAAGCAAATCTGGGCAAAAAGAAAGCCACCTCCGGAAACGGCCTACCTCTTCAGGATTTTCAGCGCCATGTTCACGGCCTCCAGGCAGCAGAACTGGACGGCCAATTCTCGGATGCCAACATTCGAACCCAAGTCCAGCAGGCTCTCGAAAGTCTTCAAGCAGCTCTGGTACGTGGTCTTGTTTAAACCGGAGAGCCTCACCAAGTAAGGCTGCAGTGGAAAAAGCATAAGAAACAATAATGCCCCTTTCTCCTCCAGAACTAGAAATGGCCATTTTTCCTAGTTGCAAAAGCATAGGTATAAATCTCTCTTCCAAGAAGGGAAATGTCACGAAATTTGTTGGAACCAGAGGAATACACACAAGAAGTCATTTTAATAGGCTAACTTTTATGGTGATTTCTTTCTTTTCTTTTTTTGCAAGCAAGGAGTGGTGGTGGTGGGGATAATGAGGGTCTGGAGCACTGCCTAAGAGCCTTTGGCTCTCAAAATACTTAGACTACAATCCTCATGGTCCTTCCTATCAGTCGTATCAGGTGGAGCTTCCAGGAACCCAACTCCATATATGTTTTCCTATTTTTGTGTGGGAAAGGTGAAAGGAACGGTTAAAAGGGAAAAAAAAATCAGGGAACCCGGAAAATTCACCAAAGATTTGTTAACTATCTTAGAGGCGCAGAAAAGGTCCTTCTGTTGAAGGCTGAAATTTGGTTACGATGAAGAAGAAAGGTTATTTAAAGGCAATTTTACTTTGTCCACCGGGTTCTTGGTAAAGGCAGCGGCCAAGTCAAGGCAGATCACAGCATTACTCGTAGCGGTCATCTGAGGCAGCAAAGGAGCGCATTTCACTTGAGCCAGACGCAGGAATTCCTCGGCTTTTCTGTTGACCCATAAAGAGAAGAGGCCGTTAAA